CTATATGCTGATTGAAAGAAGCCAGATATACTGAATAAATACTGTATGATTCCACTTATATGAAATACTAGAAAATCCACACTAATCTATAAAGACAGCAGGTAGCTCATGGCTGCCTGAAGACAAGGATGGAGGAATAGACTACAAAAAAGGACACAGGAAAACATTAGTTGGCGATGAAAATGCTTATTTAATGACAGTGATGTTTTCACTGATGCATATTTATGTCAAAAAATGATCAAATGGTACACTTTAAATATGTTCAGTATATTATACTTTAATTATGCCCCATTAAAATTGAGGAATATATTCTATCTATCCTCAAGACAGAGTTTTCAAAGTATGGTCAGAGTGTGGGTCATTCACAAGAATTTTCTAGGGTATTAGTTTAAAACACACATTATGGTCTCCATCCCAGACCTGCAGACTGTGCTGTTCTCATGAGCAGACATTTTAAATATACTCTCCAAGTGATTGCTAGTCACATATCTGAGAATCACTGTTTAAGGCCCAGTTCAAAGGCTACCTCCTCTGTGAATCCTCCAGTGATCCAAATGATGGGCATAGTTCCCTCTGCTCATCTCACAAAGCTCACACTCACAAATGGCATTTATATTAATACATAAGACCATGCTATAATGATATAATCTTATTTTCCCTACTACACAAAACGAACTACTGTAAGTTTTCACAGGGAGAAGTCATACTTTAATCCACTTTTGTAGCTTCCTCTTTGTCAAGCACAGTGCCTTGCACACAAAAGACACTAACTATATAAATAGCATGTCTACTTGTATATAACACCATGCCTATCATAGCCTTGGTCCACGCTATCTACAAGTTCAGCAACCTAGATCAATCACACTTAACCATGTAAGTGTGTGTAGAGACTACAGCAACCGACTACCAAAGAGAAGAATAAACTAGAAATAGATTCTCATTCATACAGGAAAAGAAGCATTAGGTATATCAACTGGGCACCCAAGCAAAGATAAAGTACATACCTCCTTGCAAATATTAATAGGAACTTAAGTTATTCTGGATTCACATTTCAAACAACCTATATCATCAATATGCCATCCTGAATATAACGAGACATGGCCCTGGCACAATCTTCTCTAATCCTTACCCTCCCCACACACTCTTGTCCATTCTACCTGTTATGAAGACGTACTACATGGTACTGTAATCAATTGTTTTTATATCACTGTGTACTGTGATATTCTCAAAATCAGTGATAATGATTATTCACTTTTCTATAGCCTTAGAAGGACTTCAGGAAATATTTAATAAACAAACAACAATTGTTTAAAACCAGAAACTATTCATTTACCCATTTACAAGGTTTTCCCAAAGGAGTCAATTTTTAAATTTTAATGATACAGTAAGGAAGGAGCTTTTGTTTTTAAAAAGTTATTTTCTACTATAGAGCTTCTTCTCCCCCTTGGCTGATGTACAAACGTCACAGGGGGCTCAATAAATGGATCACAGCCCATAGCTGCCCCCGGTGATGGTTTTAGATGTTTGTGCTCCATGTACCATATGAAAAGGCACAAGCAGTCTGAGTCACCGGTGAGAAGTAAGTGTGTAGTATTTGGGGACATGATTCAGCACTGTCCTCAAAACACTTTCCTGAGGAAAAAACAATCAAATCATCACAAAAACTGTCACTACTCACATTGTAATTACTAAATCTAAGGAGTCTGGAAGCAATGGTGAAGGCACTAAAATCTAAAGAAGAAGAAATAAAGTAAAATTCTATAAGCCATTTAAAAGAGCCATATTCTATGCCCACAAACATATACCACGGTCACTTAAATGTACAATAAAATGTTTTCAATGGCTGTGCAAATTAGCAACCTAATTTCATGCTTTAATTAAATGCACTCTATCATAGGAGATAACATAGGTGGTGGTACAGCCCTTCCTTAGATGTAACTACAGAACAAATAAAATTTTGATTGCTGTTTGTTTCATTTTGTTGCAGTTCTTCATTCTATATTATGCAGAATGAATTATTTGAAATGAATTTTTAGCCACTTCAAAATCATGCAATTTACTATTTGGGTAGCACAGCATATCAGTTAACTGTTTCAGAAAGACCTGGGCAACTCTCACTAGCACTATCTAGCTATTTGCTCTGGATCACCTTTGTAAAATGGAAGTAACAATAGCAGCTGCCTTACAGCCTTCTTATCAAGGTAAAATGAAAGAAAGCGTATAAAGCTTGCTTTACGAGACGCTGGCACACACTAGGGGCTCAACTGCTGTCTGCAACTATCATTGCTCCATCAGCTTCTTCAGTTTCTGGGTATGTCAATGCTTACCTGATTCTCTGTAGAAGGCTTAAAGGAGGAGAATCTACAACCATCAATTATATTCGAGTAAGGAAAGAGATGAAGAGGGAAGAAAAGGTGAAGGGAGGGTGGGGGGAAATGTAGGAGAAAAGAGGGATAATGGCAAAACTGAACTAGAGGGATGAAGTATACAGAGCCAATCTTTCTCTATGCCACAGGAACTCAGAAACAGAAAATTAGCTATACCGGCAAATAATATCTGTGGTTAGTGACCTCCAGGCACACCGTTTAAAATTTTTAACTACAGACAACAGAACACATTTGAGTCTGAGAACACAGAGCAGAACTTTGTCATAATAACATCAAGTTCAAATAGCAGACTCTACATAGAATTTCTTTTATAATATTACCTCTTCTTCCATTTCTTTAGATTCCCTGTCTTATAAGGTATTTAATTTAAATTTTGCATGTACAACTTCCCAAAAACTCGAAGCACATCCTACCATTGCTGTGAATCTCTCAAACATATTTGAATCTCAGGTGTCTTTTTTTTTCACTTTTTTTTTTCACTTTGCCATTCCATTCAAGAATACCTAACATAGCTAATCTAATTATAGAACAGCAGTCTCATTAATGTTCAATAATGACTGGGAAATCTGTTTCAGATAACTATATCCAGCCAATTACTGTACAAATAAACCTCATAAAAACCCATCAAGGATATTGGAAATCATACAAGGAAGCACGATTCCAAGTGACAAATGATAGGTAAGCTGATCATCCCCTGATTTGCTTTCTTAGCTCTGGCCCCCTGGCACCAGGCACTCTTGGGAGGAAGTCTGGGATTCATTCAAAACTTTTGCTAATAAACAAAATAAAACTAACAAAATAGCTCCTACTCAAGGAGAGATTAGATCTTCCATATTTGCTCCCATGATACTGTGTTTTCTGCTGAGAAGCATATACATCTATTTGGCTGATTTTCCTTTTCTTCCTGTTTCTTACTACTTTTGCTTTTCCCTCTAAAATCAATCACTCAATCTAGAATCACAGATTCAGAGATGACTACAGATTAAAGAAGCAACTAATTTCACTTGGTAAGAGATCGTTTCTATGACAGGCAGGATAGCCTCTGTTTAAACATTTCCCATGGTTCTAGCTACTAGAAAAATGTTAAATGCAATATCAGCAATTAATTTTTATTGAGTGTTTCCTGTGGGCCAGACCCTTTGCTAAGCACTTTATATGTGTCACCTCAATTAATCCTCATAAAGGAACTTTGAGAATGTTATGGTTGCACCCATCTTAACCATGAGAAAGCCAAGGCTCGTGGGGGTTTAACATCTTGTCTGAAAACACACAACTGTTAATTGAGAGTTGTTACAAAAACTCCTGGGTTTCCAGACACCCAGGCTCAGATTTCACAACTCATACGTCAGGCCCTGATTTCAACCTCTGCTCTCCCTTTCTCCTGAGAGAGCCCTTCAAATATTTGAAAACTGTCCATGAAGCATCTGGCAACTTGCTGGGTCTTACCCCATGCCTTCCTCAGGAGAATGGAGAGGAATCTAGGATCCTGTTGGGTCCAGGCCCCTGCATATGGAAGCCACTTAAGAGTAAGAAGCAAAGGTCAGACCTCCAGTTTCCCAGCCCAGGTAACACAAGCTGCTGCACTTCATGCATCCAGCGTCTCCACTCTCATTACATCCTCATTCTCCAACCCCGTGACCAGATATCACAACCTTACCATTGGAATATCCATGTTTCTTAGTCACCAAGAAGGACCTCTCTTCTCCATTCTGCGGCAGGGGGCCCCGTGACAAACCCTGAGTCAGAGCTGCTCGCTAAGGCCACATAGCTAATGTCCTTCTCCAGGAACAAGATGGGGTGTTCTCTAGAACAATCCACATCATTTCCTCTCCATTTAGTGCTTGCTGCTTATGCAGTGAGCTCAAACATCCAATCCCTATCAATTTTCCCTGGAGGATTTATCCTTCAAAAACAAATTTTTTTAATTAATTAAATTAAGATAGTGGTTTTTTTAATTAATTAAATTCAGATAGTGAGTTAAAAAAAAAAAACTCACGGCTGTAAAACTAAGTTTAGAAGCAATTATTTTTATTAAGCAATGGTCCTACAGAAAAGAGCCAGAAAGACCTTTCTCAAGTACCTACAGATGTGGGTAGAATCTAGTCCTCACCCTCATCTGCCAGCCTCCCTCAGTCAGGTGGCATGGCCTATACCAAGGGAGGTGATCGACTAAGCGTTACGGGCCTAAGTGTATTACATGTATAGTATATTTGTGAAATACCTGCTAAATTTGGGGCAGTATACTACATGCAATAAGAACAAAAAATGATTGTGCATTGGCTTTATTCTTAAATAGTTTTGTAAACAAATTACAGTTATGACATGCACCAGAGGCCTTTGGGGTATTACAAAGCAACAAATAACAAATACAACTTCATAAAGTACAAATCCAGCACCAAAGTGCTGACAAGGAAGATGTCTAAAGAAATTTGAGGAATAACTTCTTTCAGAGTTCAATGTCAGAGATAAATCTAGAGGGGACTCTGAGAAGGGAAAGATGGCAATGCCGCCCCTATAGAAGTATGTAAATACCTGTAAAACTGCAATTGAGGCTACATGAAAAGAGAGTGCTCTTTAGAGAGCCTGCCAATCAAATATGAGATTCTCGTCTACCTGAATTGACCAGTTGTTGTTCCATCACCCCACAGCCAAGAACTTCTAGCCATTCTCCATGGAAGTTGATCTCCATCTCAAAGGAAGGATGAGTAAAAGGAAAGTAGCAGTCTACCCATCTTATCTCCAGCCCTGCAGAGTTGCCAAAGAAAAAAACAAACAGTGTTAAAAGGCAGTCTACCCTTTCTTGTGATCAAATTTGCCCTTCCACTAATGATACCAATTACTACATTCTGAGTAAAATAAATAGCAAACAAACTAATTTGCAACACATTAAGGTGAGGTGATAAATCTTAAAACTTGTGAAAAACTGGGCATGTCTTTTCCAATATGAAAAACACTTTGTGCAATTCCAGGACCTTCTAAAATCAAATCAATCATCTGTCAAATTCCTGCAGCCACTTGGCAGAGGGAAAAATTAGAGCAAGATCATGAGAAAGCAGGTAATTCTGTTAGTTTCTATAAGTGAAAATGACATCATTTCAGAGTTAAACTGTATTTTTACTATATTGTCCTCCAAACTTACATATCAATAATATGACCAATTAAGGATAAACTGATCAACTTTTACTTCCATAAGTACACATTTTAATTTCTAAAAATTAAGCTATAAAAGCTAATAAAAAGTTAAACAAAATAAAGTCTATCAAATTTAAATAAAGCATTTAAAGAGTCAAACATTTTTCCTAAAGATAAATGGTATACTTCCTTCTAAATAAACATGTACAAAAAGTACATGCTAAATGCCAGAAGAAACTTCTCAGTAAGTAATCGTAAAATAGAACTTTTGAACAAAGACATTATTATTTAACAAAGGAAAAGACTAAAAAATTCAAAACAATTAAAGCCTACAAAGAGCTGAAGTCACTAAAAGCAGAGGGTCAGGTAGAAGCTTGACGCCTACAGTGAGGAACACAGAAAAAAGTGGGCATTTAGCAAAACAGCCATTTCCCCTTCCTGTGTTCTTTTCCCTTCATGTGATGATCTTTCTCATCTTCTTTCAGGTAACACTTTGCTAAAGATTTCAATTCTCCATGGTAACATGACCCCCTGTGAATTTAAAATACTGTATTTTCTCACCCAAGACTACCTGCATTTTAAATCTGTGGAAATCAGAATGTGAAATGAATAAAAATAATAGCAAAGATTGCTTCCATCTTACTATGCCTCTACCATCCCATTTTACAGATAGGGAAAAAACTATCAGATGGTACAAGTGTCTTGCCCAAAGTCACACAACTAGAAGATAACTGGGTCAAACCAAGGTCTGCCGAACTCCAAAACCCCCATTCATGACAATTAAAACATAACTGCCTGCCCACCACGAAAGATATTTCAAGAATCAAAATTCAGATGGGGTCTTTTTTATGCCCCAAATTCCATAGGAGGTAGATTTTTTTTTTCTTTCATTGTTCTTTTTAGTTGCATTTATTTTCCTTGTTACCTGCTATCTATGGCAAGTGTCAACTGATTTCTGTTTACCACAATAATACAGTATTTTCCCCTTTCATTATCTCTGTGGCATAACAAACATTAAATTGCACATATATAACACGTATAATTTGATAAATTTTGACATATGTATATACCCACAAAACTGTCACCATAATCAAGACAGTAAACTCATCCATCACCTCCAAAGTTTCCTTGAGTCCCTTGGTAAATCCTACCCACCTGCCCACTACCCTTACCTCTTCTCCTGGTTCCCATATCCCCAGGAAACCACTGATTTCTTCTGTTACTACAGATGAGTTTGCATGTTCCAGAATTTCATAAAAATGAAATCACACAATGTACACTTTTTTGGTCTGGCTTCTTTCACTCAGTATAACCATTCTATACGATTTACACATTAGTTGGATATATCAATAATTCATTCCTTTTTATTACTGAGTAGATCTCATGAACACTTTTTCTAACTGGAAAAAAAGCTGGCCCTGTTGTGGGCCACTGGGGAAACATATCCATAACCCCTGAGTAGTCCAGACTTTTCTATATGGAGATCATATGTGCAAAGCAGTTGCTCATTTACAATTGTATTCTGAAAAGGTATTCGCACACTTGTGTGCTTGCCCATCTTTTGGGACCAATATTTTCCTTTCAATATTTTTAGAAAAAGCACCAGAGACAATCAGGCTAACAAAGAGAAATGTGTGATGCCATGGGACATATAATTGAGAGCACAAGGATCGGCAGACAAGACAATTTTTATCATTGTTTTTTATGACTCCTGGTAGATAAACAAAAATCATTTTATAAAAACAGTTTAGAAGAACAAATTCTGTATACATGGCTTTTAAGATCTGGCTTGAATTTTTTATCAAAAGCAGGAAGAGTACTCAGGGTTAACATCATGATTTTACCATCATATAATTAAACATTACCTAAGTGCTTAGAACATAGTGTAATCATAAATGTTGACTAAAGTTATTCCATGATCAATGATTATTAAGCCCTAACTAAATGCCTACAGCATATGGTCTCGTGGGAAGCCAGGCCTTCACAGAGACAGGGCCCTGTTTACACACATCCATCTGAGCTGCTGGTGTCAACAGTGCCAGCACAACACAAAAATGGAACTGAAAAGTGATGTGATGGTCCATACCCTTCTCCAGGAATCTTCTTTTACTGAAGGGCTTTGTTTTATCACTTTTGTAATTAGATTTAAGTCTGTTACTCATGTTGAATTAATTTTTGTGGGTGGTGAGAGATATGGATACTGTTTCAATCTTCTACATATTGCTATCTAATTTTCCCAGGACCATTTATTGAATATACATTCTTTTCCCCAGCGTATATTGCTGTCTACTGTGCCAAAGATCAGATGGCAACATGTGTATGGTTTTATATCTGGGTTCTCTGTTCTGTTCCATTGGTCTATGTCTCTATTTTTGTGCCAATACCATGCTGTTTTGGTTACTATAGCCTTGTAGTATAATTTAAAGTCTGCTAAAGTGATGCCTCCAGATTTATTCCTTTTGCTTAAAGTTGCTTTGGCCATTTGGGCTCTTTTCTCACAACAAAGCATACAATTATTTTTTCTAGATCTGGGAAAAATGACATTGGTATTTTGACAGAGATTGCACTGAATCTGTAAATCATTTTGGGTAGTATGGACATTTTAACAATGTTGACTCTGCCAATCCATGAGCATGATAGGTTTTTCCATTCATTTACATCATCTGCAATTTCTTTCTTCAGTGATTTGTGGCTCTCTTCGTAGAAAGATCTTTTACCTCCTTGATTAAATATCTAGGTATCTAGGTATTTTCCTAGGTACCTAGGTATCCTAGGTATTTAATTTCCTTTTTGCTATTGCAACCTACTACAGGGAACCAGGGGCACAAGAAAGGCAGCACTGCATCTCACCTGCTCTGTGTACCAATCTCCCAACTTCTGCACCCTTGGCAACACCAACTGGGGACACAGTGCAGGGATACGCATGTTCATGGGGGATTGGTGCTCTGTTCCCACCACTCCCTGACTCTGTCCAATGCTGAAGTGCCTGACCACTCTGTCTGACATACTGTAACTAGTAAATAGATGTCATTCCATCCCACGCCCAACACACTTCATAATAGATCTCATTCTTAATAAACATAATATAACATTCAATTTCCATGATTTCGAAGCTTCAAATCAAGTGAGAAAAAAAGAAAAAAAATTAAAATAAATACACAAATTATTTTTGTGATTTACTGACTCATTAAAGAAATTCTTCCTGTTTCCCTTATCCCTTATATTTAAAGACGAGACTTTGCTATCAGAACTGCTTTCCACAAGTGGTAGAATCTAAATTTTGAAAAGCTGACAGTCCAAACTAGAGCACATACCAGTGATTTTCTATATTTTACCAAGGCTACCTTCCACAAAAGAAAATAATTTTTAAGATTGACTATACAAATCTGTAATTAATTATTGCTGTTTAGTGTTAATTTTGCAATAGGTTTTCCCTCAGCTGGTACCAGAGAACTAGCAGAATGTAGTGATCTGATACCAGGGTTGCAGCTCAGCACTTTCAGAACAGCACACACTATGTATCCAAGGAAGAAAAGGAAGGTGGAAAGGAAAAGAAAGGAGGGTGCTCTATGGCTGGAAATAAATTCTTTAAAAAATGGGATCATCATAGATGACCACAGGCTAGCCAGGGAAATTACCCATCCATCACTGTCAAAGACATCTGACAATTCCATCTCCTCTGCTTCTGTTCAAGATCGGGAACACTTTGAATTCAGTATGCAGCAAGTAGCATGCAGGCCGTTTTTTCTGATTTTTCAATATTACTCTATTCTAATAGCTTCCTTTTAAATTTTGTTTTGAATAGGTAATATGTTCACAGGGTTCAAAATCAAAACACTGTAAGAGGCTCATCTCACGATATAACCCGGCATCAGTGAGAATTCTCACGTGCACCCTGTCCCTGTTTTACCCCACTTGTCTGAACCCTTACAGTACACTTCTAGGGTTTCCTTTTTATTGCCATATGTAAGCAAAAAAAATATCAATTTCTATTAAGATTTTCCCTGCTTTCTTATATAAAAAATAGAATACTATGCATGTTATTCATCTCCATGCTTTTTTCACTTAATGGTATGTCTGGAGGCCTCTCCACAATACAGAGACCACATCTTCATTCCCTTTCTTTATCCTACAAAGGGACTCCCCCATGTGGCTCTCCCACATTTATATAAGAAGTCCCTTACTGATATATACTTGAAGTATATTCAATATTTTGCTGTTGAAAGCAATGCTGTAACAAAATACCCTGTTGAGACAAAGAGTAAATGCTTTTAAAATTTTAATAAATATTGCCACATTGTCTTCTATAGGTGTGTATAACACGGTGCACTAACGTTAACTCAGTGCTTTTCACAGGGGCCAAGGCCATATAACTAACTAATAAAAGAGTGAAAATAGAGCTCGGGTCCCAGATAAAGATCCAGGGCTCTGCTGATAAAAGACCACCAGCTTGATCCTTTTACGCAGCTCCCATTTAGCAAAAGCAACAGCTGAGCAACCATGGAAAAGATTCCCAGGTTCCTGCTGCCTTCTCACCCTTTGCTGCCTGTTTATGTCATCTCTCTCTCTCTCCTAGCAGGGGAAAAGAGCATCTGAGTGTCTTCTGGACCTAG